TGAACATACAGCCACTAAACATCAGACTGCAGCACCAAGCCATCAGGGTGTGGAACACCATCGAAATGTTAGAGGACCCAATGTTAGAAAGATTACTCCAAGATGAGACGCCCCGCTCCCACAGCTGGTGGCCCAAGATGAGACGCCCCGCTCCCACAGCTGGTGGCCCAAGATGAGACGCCCCGCTCCCACAGCTGGTGGCCCAAGATGAGACGCCCCGCTCCCACAGCTGGTGGCCCAAGAGCCTCTATTTACTAGATGCAAACCCCGCCCCACAGTACATAATCCGCAGATGAAATACTGACCAGATATCCTTCCCTCATAATTGGAAAAATTGTGTGTGTGTATGTATACGGGTATAGGTGTATGTATGTATACGGGCATAGGTGTATGTATGTATACGGGTATAGGTGTATGTATGAATAAGTCAATAAATAATAATAATAAAATAAAGAGCCTTAAACAGAACAACATGTGTGGAAGCATCGGAGTGTGTATATATGAATGCTACACAGTATTCATCTATGGACATCCATATATGGTGAAACACATGTGAAGAACCTCTCACACACTCACAGCTCCCTGACAAGAGGGAGCCAGCTTAGCTTAGCTGCCAACACCCACACATGGTGTCAGCAAGGCGGACAGCCCGCCTGCTTTCATACCTCTCACTGTATTTCCCACTTCTATACTTCACCTATGCCTCTCCCTCCCCCCCCCCCCAAAAAAAAAAGTGGGTGAGGGTTGTGGGGGAGGGACAGAGAGAGGGCAGGTGGTGGTGGTGGCCGTGACGGACCACCAGTGGTCGCGTCTTCCTCCCTGTAAATGTTACAGTGGGGTGTAAATACCCCCTCCCCTGTAAATGTTACAGTGGGGTGTAAATACCCCCGCCCCTGTAAATGTTACAGTGGGGTGTAAATACCCCCTCCCCTGTAAATGTTACAGTGGGGTGTAAATACCCCCTCCCCTGTAAATGTTACAGTGGGGTGTAAATACCCCCTCCCCTGTAAATGTTACAGTGGGGTGTAAATACCCCCGCCCCTGTAAATGTTACAGTGGGGTGTAAATACCCCGCCCCTGTAAATGTTACAGTGGGGTGTAAATACCCCGCCCCTGTAAATGTTAGTGGGGTGTAAATACCCCCGCCCCTGTAAATGTTACAGTGGGGTGTAAATACCCCGCCCCTGTAAATGTTAGTGGGGTGTAAATACCCCCGCCCCTGTAAATGTTAGTGGGGTGTAAATACCCCCGCCCCTGTAAATGTTAGTGGTGTGTAAATACCCCCGCCCCTGTAAATGTTAGTGGGGTGTAAATACCCCCGCCCCTGTAAATGTTAGTGGGGTGTAAATACCCCCGCCCCTGTAAATGTTACAGTGGTGTGTAAATACCCCCGCCCCTGTAAATGTTAGTGGGGTGTAAATACCCCCGCCCCTGTAAATGTTACAGTGGGGTGTAAATACCCCGCCCCTGTAAATGTTAGTGGGGTGTAAATACCCCCGCCCCTGTAAATGTTAGTGGGGTGTAAATACCCCCGCCCCTGTAAATGTTAGTGGGGTGTAAATACCCCCGCCCCTGTAAATGTAATGACCGGGGTTGTGAAACAAAGAGGCTGACAACCGCCTGACTCGGTGGTACAATATCTAGGAGTAACATCCAATGAACATTACTGTGGGATATTGTACCACACAGCTGTTGGTACTTGTGGTGGAGTCGAGCATAATGGCCACACAGTGGGGGTGTCGGGCACTCCTGGTGCGTGTGTCACGTCCCGTCATGAACACGAGTCTGGTGGTAGTTCTCCTTTTATTAAAAGGGAAGGGTTACCTTGTGTTGATTCCTTGGGTCAAGGTTCTCGCGGCCCGGTCTCTGGCCAGGCCTCCATGGGTGATGGTCTGGTCAACCACGTTATTCGCAGCCTGATGTATGACTCACAGTCTGGTTGATCAGGTATCTTTTGGAGGTCTTTGTCCAGTTCTCTCTTGAACACTGTGAGGGGTCGGCCAGTTATGTCCCTTATGTGTAGTGGAAGCGTGTTGAAATACTCTCGGGCCTCTGATGTTGACAGTTCTCTCAGAGTTGAAAAACAGAGTTTCAACGGGGGTATTCTGCACAACCTGCCATGCCTTCTGGTCTCGTATGTTTTTTTGTGTGCAGGTTTGGGACCAGTCCCTCTTGGAGTAGTTTCCTCAGTATGTTTTCTAACATGTCAAGAGGAGTGCAAGCAAGCTCTCCATACTCTGTCTTTTCACCAGTTGTATTTACCTAGTTGTGGTTGCGGGGGTTGAGCTCTGGTCTTACGGCCTGCCTCTCAACTCTCAATCAACTTTTTTTTTCTCTCCTCTCCTCTCCTGTCCTCTCCTGTCCTGTCCTCTCCTCCCCTCTCCTCTCCTCTCCTCGCGCGCGCGCCGGCTAAATGTGTACATTAATGTATGTCTCCCGCCCGCCTGCGCTCTAGAGAATACAGATTTAGGCATTTTAATTGGTCCCAATACTTTGTGTTTTACTGAGTGGATTCCAGCAGCAAAGGATCTCTGCACGCTCTCCAGGTCAGCAATTTCTTCAGCTTTGAAAGTGCTGTTATTGTGCAACGGTATTCATTGCACAGTGAATCACAATAGGTACGCTGAGGGGGAACTCTATCAACATCAGAGGCCCGAGACTGTTCAACACACACTTCCACTACACATAAGGGGCATAACTGGCCGACCACTCACAGTCTTCAAGAGAGAATTCGACAAACACCTCCAAAGAATACCTGATCAACCAGGCTGTAATTCCTACGTGAGGCTGCGAGCAGCCGCGTCCAACAGCCTCGTTGACCAGTCGACCAACCCGGAGGTCTGGTTGGAGACCGGGCCGCGGGGCCATTTATCCTCGGAAGCTACACAAAGTAGATAATAACTCATAATTGCACATAGCAACTCGTGCAAATTTTTGAAAGGGATGTTGAAAATTTGTGTCCATTATGTTTAGCGTTTTCTTTACGTATTCATTACACTCATACTTAACAATGAGGCGGCTGTGTATACGAAAATACCTCCAGATATCCTTAGGAGTGCATTAAGTATATAGATTTGTAACTAGTTCTCTCAACACATTCCGGAAATGCAATTTGAGGAATTTAAAGTGGCCTAAATAATTTAGGAATTTGACAATGAATTCAGACTGAATGTTACCTAATACTTCCCCCAGTCCTCACATTGGCTGGCCTTGAGTGTGGCAGTTAACGTGTGGTGTACATTAGTAGGGACAAGGGCCGCCACAACCCTCGTCAGCCACCTGTCATTTGGTTAGTGCTGCCAAGTCTTGAGGTGTTAGGGTTCCCCTCAGGTTACTCTCAGCTCTGGCGGCCTGTAACACTAATATAGTGTGGTTTAGCTAGTTGCGTTTTGGCATTTTTAATATCGTGTTATTTTCAATAAGGGAAGAGGTGGATTTTTCTTCATTAAACATGTGTGTGTGTGTGTGTGTGTTACCCGTGGGAAGATTTGGTTAAGCCTAAGATCTAGCCAAAATGTGTGTGGAGGTTTGTGCCTTCACTACTGCCACCAACCTTGTGCCGCCAGCCCTCAACGGGGCAGGTTAGGCCGTGTCGAGGGGCACTCCCTCTACACCTAGTGTCCGATCTGCTTGTAAAACCATTGGCGAACCGTACTGTATAGGACGTTGATCCGTTCATTAGCAATTGACAATCGTTAGCAATAAAACAGGTGGTATTGCCCGACTTGATAATGGTCCAGACGGAGTGAAACGTCGAAGTTTCTTCATTTTCAGATGTGTGATTTGGTCACCAGATCTTTCTATGGAAAAATCGAAAATATAAAAACGGAAACCGTATACAAAACGGAATCAAGTAACGAAAAGCAATGTAAAGGATCTAAGAGTAATCATGTCAAGACTTTACCTGTACAGGACACCATAAAGTAACTGTCACGACTGCAAACAAACCGACAGGTTGGATAACAAGGACCTTCCACACCAGGGATGCCATACCAATGATACTTCTCAAGACATTAGTGCTCTCTAGGGTGGAATATTGTTGTGCACTAACAGCCCCATTCAGAGCCGGAGATGTTGCTGACCTAGAGAGCGTGCAAAGATCCTTTACCGCTAAAATCACCTCTATAAGTCATCTTAATTATTTGGACCGATTAAAAGTTCTAAATCTGTGTTCTCCAGAGCGCAGGCGAGAGAGACATCATAATGTACACGTGGACGATGCTGGAGGGACAATCTGTGTTCTCTCGCCTGGGCTCTGGAGAACACAGATTTAGAACTTTTAATCGGTCCCAATAATTAAGACGACTTACTATATTTGATTTTGGCGGGAAAAGATCTTTGCACGCTCTCTAGGCCAGCAACATCTCCGGCTCTGAAAGGTGGCTGTTAGTGTGCAACAATATTCCACCCTAGAGAGCACTAGTGTCTTAAAAAGTATCATTGGTATGGCATCCCTGGTTTGGAAGGTCCTTGTTATTCAACCTGTCATTTTTCTTTTCTGGATTAGAAATTCATGACAAGAAATTCCAGGAAGTTTTCACATTAGAACAGGAAGTTCCTGAGATAAGAGAGGGAATATCTATCCTCCAGGCACCAATAATGTTAATGAATGTTAATGGAATGTTAATAAATGGTGGAGGCAGACTCGATACACAGTTAAAAATGTAGATGAGAGCGAGGTCAGTAAGCTCAAGAACATATTGTTCTGTACTACTGAAACACTTGTTCACTAAGAATTGTAATGTATAATTGCCTTGTAAAACTTATGAATATGTAATTTATATTGTATTTTCTTAAATAAAGATAAAAAAAAGAACATGTATACCAGTAGATTGTTAGTTGAATGACGGGACCAGAGAGCCGAAGCTCCACCGCCGTAAGCACAACTAAGCGAGTACTCTGGTAGTGGCTGACTAACTTCCGTCAGCCCATGTTTGGTGCGGTGAGCAGGCCGCTCAGTAGCGCTGTTATGCACCCACTGACAAACTGTTGTCTTCCAGGGCTCCGACCCGCGGCTGCAGACGTGCCGGGGGAAGCTGCAGAACCGCCGCTCCAAGCTCAACCAGGAGATCAACAAGGAGCTGATGCTGAGAGCTGGAGCCCAGAACCTCTTTAAGTGAGTCTTACTTCTCATTACTTGGCCACGGAAGTTTACGTGCTAGTGCTGTGTAGCCTAGGGGGGGGGGGGTGTACTAGAGGCTCTTACTAGGCCCTAGTACTGTGTAGCCTAGGGAGGTGGGGTGTACTAGAGGCTCTTACTAGGCCCTAGTGCTGTGTAGCCTAGGGGGGGGGGGTGTACTAGAGGCTCTTACTAGGCCCTAGTGCTGTGTAGCCTAGGGGGGGGGGGGTGTACTAGAGGCTCTTACTAGGCCCTAGTACTGTGTAGCCTAGGGGGGGGGGTGTACTAGAGGCTCTTACTAGGCCCTAGTACTGTGTAGCCTGGGGGGGGGGGTGTAAGAGGCTCTTACTAGGCCCCAGTACTGTGTAGCCTGGGGGGGGGGGCTGTACTAGAGGCTCTTACTAGGCCCAGTACTGTGTAGCCTAGGGGGGCTGTACTAGAGGCTCTTACTAGGCCCCAGTACTGTGTAGCCTGGGGGGGGGTGTACTAGAGGCTCTTACTAGGCCCAGTACTGTGTAGCCTAGGGGGGCTGTACTAGAGGCTCTTACTAGGCCCAGTACTGTGTAGCCTAGGGGGGCTGTACTAGAGGCTCTTACTAGGCCCCAGTACTGTGTAGCCTAGGGGGGGGTGTACTAGAGGCTCTTACTAGGCCCCAGTACTGTGTAGCCTGGGGGGGGGGGGTGTACTAGAGGCTCTTACTAGGCCCAGTACTGTGTAGCCTGGGGGGGGGGTGTACTAGAGGCTCTTACTAGGCCCTAGTACTGTGTAGCCTAGGGGGGGGGGTGTACTAGAGGCTCTTACTAGGCCCCAGTACTGTGTAGCCTGGGGGGGGGGGTGTACTAGAGGCTCTTACTAGGCCCAGTACTGTGTAGCCTGGGGGGGGGGTGTACTAGAGGCTCTTACTAGGCCCAGTACTGTGTAGCCTGGGGGGGGGGTGTACTAGAGGCTCTTACTAGGCCCCAGTACTGTGTAGCCTAGGGGGGGGTGTACTAGAGGCTCTTACTAGGCCCTAGTACTGTGTAGCCTAGGGGGGGGGTGTACTAGAGGCTCTTACTAGGCCCCAGTACTGTGTAGCCGGGGGGGGGGGTGTACTAGAGGCTCTTACTAGGCCCAGTACTGTGTAGCTGGGGGGGGGGGGGTGTGTACTAGAGGCTCTTACTAGGCCCAGTACTGTGTAGCCTGGGGGGGGGGGCTGTACTAGAGGCTCTTACTAGGCCCTAGTACTGTGTAGCCTGGGGGGGGGGTGTACTAGAGGCTCTTACTAGGCCAGTACTGTGTAGCCTGGGGGGGGGGTTGTACTAGAGGCTCTTACTAGGCCCAGTACTGTGTAGCCTGGGGGGGGGGGTGTACTAGAGGCTCTTACTAGGCCCAGTACTGTGTAGCCTGGGGGGGGGCTGTACTAGAGGCTCTTACTAGGCCCTAGTACTGTGTAGCCTGGGGGGGGGGTGTACTAGAGGCTCTTACTAGGCCCTAGTACTGTGTTAGCCTAGGGGGGGGGGGTATTAGAGGCTCTTACTAGGCCCAGTACTGTGTAGCCTAGGGGGGGGGGGGTGTATTAGAGGCTCTTACTAGGCCCAGTACTGTGTAGCCTGGGGGGGGTGTATTAGAGGCTCTTACTAGGCCCAGTACTGTGTAGCCTGGGGGGGGGGCTGTACTAGAGGCTCTACTAGGCCCCAGTACTGTGTAGCCTAGGGGGGGGGGTGTATTAGAGGCTCTTACTAGGCCCAGTACTGTGTAGCCTGGGGGGGGGGGCTGTACTAGAGGCTCTTACTAGGCCCCAGTACTGTGTAGCCTAGGGGGGGGGTGTATTAGAGGCTCTTACTAGGCCCAGTACTGTGTAGCCTGGGGGGGGGGCTGTACTAGAGGCTCTTACTAGGCCCCAGTACTGTGTAGCCTAGGGGGGGGGGTGTATTAGAGGCTCTTACTAGGCCCAGTACTGTGTAGCCTGGGGGGGGGGGGCTGTACTAGAGGCTCTTACTAGGCCCCAGTACTGTGTAGCCTAGGGGGGGGGGTGTATTAGAGGCTCTTACTAGGCCCAGTACTGTGTAGCCTGGGGGGGGGCTGTACTAGAGGCTCTTACTAGGCCCCAGTACTGTGTAGCCTGGGGGGGGGGGGTATTAGAGGCTCTTACTAGGCCCCAGTACTGTGTAGCCTGGGGGGGGTGTATTAGAGGCTCTTACTAGGCCCAGTACTGTGTAGCCTGGGGGGGGGGTGTATTAGAGGCTCTTACTAGGCCCAGTACTGTGTAGCCTGGGGGGGGGGGGGGTGTATTAGAGGCTCTTACTAGGCCCAGTACTGTGTAGCCTGGGGGGGGGTGTATTAGAGGCTCTTACTAGGCCCCAGTACTGTGTAGCCTGGGGGGGGGTGTATTAGAGGCTCTTACTAGGCCCCAGTACTGTGTAGCCTGGGGGGGGGGTGTATTAGAGGCTCTTACTAGGCCCCAGTACTGTGTAGCCTGGGGGGGGGGGTGTATTAGAGGCTCTTACTAGGCCCAGTACTGTGTAGCCTGGGGGGGGGTGTATTAGAGGCTCTTACTAGGCCCAGTACTGTGTAGCTGGGGGGGGGGTGTATTAGAGGCTCTTACTAGGCCCCAGTACTGTGTAGCCTGGGGGGGGGGTGTATTAGAGGCTCTTACTAGGCCCCAGTACTGTGTAGCCTGGGGGGGGGTATTAGAGGTTTGTACTAGGCCCTAGTACTGTGTAGCCTGGGGGGGGGGTTACCTGATGCTGTTGCTAAGCCTTAGTAATGTTGGAGGGAGGAAGGGGCAGTGGGAGTGAGGGGGAGGGGGAGAGAGTGTGGGAGTGAGGGGAGAGGGAGGGAGGGATGGGGAGGGATGGTGGGAGGGAGGGAGCACAAGCCAAGGTGAGCAGCATGAGCAGGTGAGTGTGGACCAGTACCGTAGTGTGCACGCATTACTGGGAGGGGCGCGGTCTCTGGGCGGCGGGTGGGGGGGGGGGAGTGGTGATGGTGGTGGGGGCGGCGTCAGTGGCAAGTCTAGCTTGTGGCTCTGTGGTGGGGATGGTGTGGTTGTGTGGAGGGGGGTATGGTGTGGTTGTGTGGAGGGGGGGTATGGTGTGGTTGTGTGGAGGGGGGGTATTGTGTGGTTGTGTGGAGGGGGGTATTGTGTGGTTGTGTGGAGGGGGGTATTGTGTGGTTGTGTGGAGGGGGGTATGGTGTGGTTGTGTGGAGGGGGGGGTATTGTGTGGTTGTGTGGAGGGGGGTATTGTGTGGTTGTGTGGAGGGGGGGTATGGTGTGGTTGTGTGGAGGGGGGGTATTGTGTGGTTGTGTGGAGGGGGGGTATTGTGTGGTTGTGTGGAGGGGGGGTATGGTGTGGTTGTGTGGAGGGGGGGGTATTGTGTGGAGGGGGGGGGGGGTATGGTGTGGTTGTGTGGAGGGGGGTGGTATGGTGTGGTTGTGTGGAGGGGGGGTATTGTGTGGAGGGGGGGGGGTATGGTGTGGTTGTGATGAGGGGGGGGATATGGTGTGGTTGTGTGGAGGGGGGGTATTGTGTGGAGGGGGGGGGGTATGGTGTGGTTGTGTGGAGGGGGGGTATTGTGTGGTTGTGTGGAGGGGGGTATTGTGTGGAGGGGGGGTATGTGTGTGGTTGTGTGGAGGGAGGGTATGGTGTGGTTGTGTGGAGGGGGGGTATGGTGTGGGTTGTGTGGAGGGGGGTATTGTGTGGTTGTGTGGAGGGGGGGTATTGTGTGGTTGTGTGGAGGGGGGTATTGTGTGGTTGTGTGGAGGGGGGTATGGTGTGGTTGTGTGGAGGGGGGGTATTGTGTGGTTGTGTGGAGGGGGGGGGTATGGTGTGGTTGTGTGGAGGGGGATATGGTGTGGTTGTGTGGAGGTGGGATATGGTGTGGTTGTGTGGAGGGGGGTATGGTGTGGTTGTGTGGAGGGGGATATGGTGTGGTTGTGTGGAGGGGGGGTATTGTGTGGGTTGTGTGGAGGGGGGGTATTGTGTGGTTGTGTGGAGGGGGGGTATGGTGTGGTTGTGTGGGAGGGGGGGTATGGTGTGGTTGTGTGGAGGGGGGTATGGTGTGGTTGTGTGGAGGGGGGTATGGTGTGGTTGTGTGGAGGGGGATATGGTGTGGTTGTGTGGAGGGGGGTATGGTGTGGTTGTGTGGAGGGGGGTATGGTGTGGTTGTGTGGAGGGGGATATGGTGTGGTTGTGTGGAGGGGGATATGGTGTGGTTGTGTGGAGGGGGGTATTGTGTGGTTGTGTGGAGGGGGGGTATTGTGTGGTTGTGTGGAGGGGGGTATGGTGTGGTTGTGTGGAGGGGGGGTATGGTGTGGTTGTGTGGAGGGGGGGTATGGTGTGGTTGTGTGGAGGGGGGTATGGTGTGGTTGTGTGGAGGGGGATATGGTGTGGTTGTGTGGAGGGGGGGTATTGTGTGGTTGTGTGGAGGGGGGGTATTGTGTGGTTGTGTGGAGGGGGGGTATTGTGTGGTTGTGTGGAGGGGGGTATTGTGTGGTTGTGTGGAGGGGGGGTATTGTGTGGTTGTGTGGAGGGGGGGTATTGTGTGGTTGTGTGGAGGGGGGTATGGTGTGGTTGTGTGGAGGGGGGTATGGTGTGGTTGTGTGGAGGGGGATATGGTGTGGTTGTGTGGAGGGGGGTATGGTGTGGTTGTGTGGAGGGGGGGTATTGTGTGTTGTGTGGAGGGGGGGTATTGTGTGGTTGTGTGGAGGGGGGTATGGTGTGGTTGTGTGGAGGGGGGTATGGTGTGGTTGTGTGGAGGGGGATATGGTGTGGTTGTGTGGAGGGGGGTATGGTGTGGTTGTGTGGAGGGGGATATGGTGTGGTTGTGTGGAGGGGGATATGGTGTGGTTGTGTGGAGGGGGGTATGGTGTGGTTGTGTGGAGGGGGATATGGTGTGGTTGTGTGGAGGGGGGGGTATTGTGTGGTTGTGTGGAGGGGGGTATGGTGTGGTTGTGTGGAGGGGGGTATGGTGTGGTTGTGTGGAGGGGGATATGGTGTGGTTGTGTGGAGGGGGAT